GATATAATACAAGCTTTAGTGAATTTAGAAACACTAGAATTGGGTGAATGTTCAGATTTTCCAGATAAATTTGGTACTACAGTTTTAATAAAGTTACAAAAATTGGAACGTCTCAGACTTGAAAAGGGACAAGGATCGTGTTGTACATTCGATATTTTGGATGGTGTATCTAAGTTACAAAATTTGAGTCAAATGGAATTGGTCAATTTTGATGTCAAAAATGGCTTTGATAAATGCCTTGCAAACTGTAAAAATATTAAAAGGCTATTGATTATACCAACGTACATATCTCAATCAGCAACGTCTAACAATATGGTGCTGGGAGGTGTCACTGAACTGTCAAATAATTTGACACATTTTGTATGGGGTGTTACACTTGAGTTACTTAGGGTTACAGAATTGTTTGTTGATCAATGTAATTTAATGAGTAAACAGATTACTGGTGACTCGATACCAGTTTTAAAACCGGTACCCTGTCTAAAATTAATTGAGGACGTTGAGGATGAAAATGACAATCAAAAAGGTATAGCTTATATACAAATACGTATATCTTTATATGCATTACATGAAAAAAAATATAATGTATTTTTCAATTAATTTTATGTACTTTCTTTTATTTTTCAGGTGATGATAAACAACAACCAAATTTAACAAATCCTCAAGTGGATATATTACCATTGCCTCAACTTCAAAAACTTTTACTAACTGCATTGCCTAAAACAAGGGTTAAAATCTTGAAGATTCCTTTCCATGCTACGTGGCGGCAAAGCATTTCAGATACTGCTACACAATAGAAGAAAATATAATAAAGTGTATGAATACATATACTAAAATGGAAAGAAAAATACCTGATATGAGAGAATTAGAAGTTTTGTAAATTTGACTCCATAATGTCTGCACAATTTACTCCAATACTTACAAATTGGATGAAAAGTAATTTAATATTTATGTACTATGTGTTTTGTAGTCTTTAACAATTCCCCTTGAATAGTGTATTGATACACTCTACAGTAACCATAAATACTGTTCTCCTCAAAGCTTTTAGTGATAAAAACAGGGGACCATAAATGCATCGCGTGCTATTTTGGCTGAAAAGCAAAATTTCATGAGAAGCTGGGATCCTTGTGCAAATTGTTTAAAAATGATGAAAGTCTTAATATATCTAGACAACAGTACTTTGAACGTATGGTCCGCAAATTATTTGGTATACTGTAATGTGTATCTATGTGAACAGAATTATCTAAATCATAGAAAGAGAACTGTAAATGTTTAAAATAATTATATGAAATTAAGGTTTATAAAAATACCGCACACATTTATTAAGGGGATGAAATATATAATTTTCAGTTTTTACCAAGTGTAGGGCAAATGTATTTATGACATACATAATGCATCGAGTCAAAACAAACTGTAGTTTTAATTTCGTGATACATAATTTCGATAAATTTCTATTGAAGTAGCAGTGAAAGAGGAAATCATGTGGTCTATAAGGCTCTATTTAGAGGTTAGGCTGTATAAATAACGGTATATATTGTAATTGTATGTGTATCTTTAATATTTAAGGTACGAGTTTTCCGCTGCAAAGAAATATTAAGAAGTTTATGAGTAATGTTATAGAATGTGTAATATACTTATGATTCTGCATATTGCATAGTCAAATATAATATTATAAAGATGTAGTGATTTATGTGTACTCAGTACAAATTACGCAATTATGATAAATTTCCTAACCAGGATATTTGAATTTTCTGGTAATTATTATAGATATTTCTTTCTTCCTTCTTTTACTTTTTTTTATTTCTTTAATACTATTTTCAGAAATGGTGCATCAGTATGATATAAAATTAAATTTTATATCGAGATAATAAGAATAAACGTGAAAAATTTTTATTATAAAAGAATTGCATATATAATTTTAAAATAGTATAAAATCTAGTTCACAGGTAGTGAGTAATAGATAAAATATTTCAATGATATTAACTGTTACATCAATTTGTTTTTAAATACGTCGTACTATTCGCTCATGCTTTGGTTGCTTTTTGTAAAGGAAATTTTACAATTAGTCTTACTTTGCAGCGGAAAAATTGAATTGTTTTATTATATTATTTTTAGTTGTACACAAACCGAATAATTTATAAATATTAAGGGGGTTCTAAAAATGTACTCTTAGTAAACGACTTAAATATATAAAAGAAGATATTTTTTACGTTAAATATAAAATGTGAATATTATGGAATTAACTATAAGGATAAATATACATGGCTGTTAGCCTTGAGACGAGTATTACAAATAATTTTATATCAAATTAATAAATGTTAAACTATTAATAGATGATATATATCTTTTTCCAAATTTTGTTTCATTTGTCATTTTAAATTTTGTATCTTTTAAATTTAATTCGTTTCTTTTTATTGTGCATTTTTAGTTATACAAGATTATCAATTTGATTTGCAAAATTTAACATTTCCGTTATTTTACACATATTTAACATACTCGTGATATTATGTCATGAATAATATACATATGCATTCATAAATACATACAGAGGAATAATGTAGAAAGTAAATTTTTATTTTATGTTTGTAAATAACTATTTCGTGACCTATGTTTTTAGATCCTCCTTAATGATAATTTTATAAGTACAATATAAAGGCAATATAAATTTATTCTTAAAGATTTATCAAATCATCTGTTTATTTGCATACTTTGTACAATACAAATCTTATACAAAAAAGAAACTTGTGTTATTTATGCTTTGTGTACTACTTCACTCTGATAAATAATTTTAGGGGAATGTATAAAAGTGGAAAAGATATTTAAGTTTATATATATACGCATATGTATACTTGCAAATGTAAATATATGCGTTTTTAGAAAGAGATATCATATTGCATAAGTTTAACGCTAATGATATAAAATTGAAATTAAATAAAATCACTCTTTATTATGTCAATACAATAATACGGCTGATTTTACCGTTGAATATACATATATTCAATTTGTTCAGGAAATGACAATGGCATATATCTTGGAGGGACAGAAAGAATGATCAAGGGTGATTCTGACAAGGAGTTTGGCGTAATTGCGAAAGTAGGTGACCTCTGACAGAAATTGAAAATCAATAAAGTGCAGTGGAGTTCGTGATACACAGAGAACGAAAGTACCTCCTCTCTGCAGTTTTGAGGTTATGTTGCTCGAGACTGAGAAGGCAGAGCGTCGAATGTTCTATTTTCGTTTCGGCGAAAAGTGTTTATTCTTGCCAGTCGTAGGCGCGCGTTACACATTATAATGCATCTAAATGTGAGGAGAAGTCACGAAAGTGCCGTGAGATAGTACAAACATGGGCAGAAGAAAATCTCACGGATCATCTAAAAGTAAACAACACGTTCCACATCAAAGGCAATTATCCTTAGCGGAAAGAAACGAGATAAATGCCTTGTGCGAAAAACTATTCCTCCGTGAGTACATTTTCCGTGAACATACTTTTATATATCAATATATTTTTCTTATAATTATACTATTCTTTATACATTGGTTTAACACGATTGCAAAATATTAAATTGTCACATTAAATTTTTATTTCGTCACTGAAAAAGAAATTAAGATATTTCGATATTGAATATAAAATTATTTGATGAATTTTATATTGCTAAGAATCTAAAATTGATTAAATATGCATTCTGTTTAACCTCATAGTTCTTCAAATAGTCTTTCATATATAATTTTTTGACAGAATACTAATTAATGTTCTATCCATTCATGGTGTTGTAAAAAGTAATAATTTTTTTTTTTTTTGAAATAGTGAGCATTGATCCAACGTATTTGATGCAAATATGGGACAATTACGTAGAGATATCAGCAATTTTGGAGAAGGTTAAACGGTTGGAGGAAATGAAGACGGAGTCGCCGAAACGATCTCAGGGGATTGGACAATTCATAAACTGGCTCAAAGAAAATGGTGCGAATGTAGACGGAGCGAGTGTGGCTGAATTCCCGGGATACGACTTAGGCTTAAAAGCGGAACGTAATTTCGTTGAAAATGAATTGATCTTAAGGATACCTAGGGAACTTATTTTCAGTATTCATAATGCAGCCCCAGAATTGATTGTTCTTCAAAATGATCCATTGATACGGCATATGCCACAAGTAGCACTCGCGATTGCGCTTCTTATTGAAAGACACAAAGAATATTCGAAATGGAAACCTTATTTGGATATCCTTCCTACCACTTACACAACCGTGTTATACATGACCGCTGCCGATATGATTGAACTTAAAGGCAGTCCGACATTAGGTAAATGTTTATACAATTTTTCGTGAAAATATATTTATGTTTACTTTTTTAATCAGTTTAATTTTTGAAAACTTTATTTTAAACTTTGAGAAAATTTCATTTTAATAATAAAATATTGATATGATTTTTGTTGTAGAGGCTGCTTTGAAACAATGCCGAAATATTGCTAGACAGTATTCCTACCTTAATAAGGTTTTTCAAAACAACAATAATGCTGTGTCTGCTATCCTCAGGGATGTCTTTACCTACGAAAGATATTGGTAAGTAATGGAATTACAATTGTAATATTTTCGTATTTTATATAAAAGGTGATTTATTTCGCTTATGAGTTATTTATATAAATAAATATATTTTATTCTACATACATAAGTTTGAAAGAATAAGTTTACAATAGCAGAAAAATATATTACGTCTTCTTATGTTAGGAAATGTTCCAAAGTAAAATCTTATATGATATAGAATTATACGAACTTAGAGTGTTAAATTATGATTTAAATTTTGATAGTTATCAGAATAATCTATTAGAAGCTCTATACAATCGTATGTACAATCATTTGTGTCTGTAAAACTGGTATACAGACATAAGTTCCTACAGAAACATTATCGGTAATAATTAGGGGTCAGTCCCTTGCAGTATTTTACACCTTTTACTGAGTATGATCTTTAAATATAAAATATACAATCGATTTTTAATATGTATTTACTTGAACTTAACATAAGGGTGAAAATACTGCATTTCTTTTTTAATCAATGTTGTAAATGCGTTCAAGTTGGTTTATTTCATATAATCAGGTATGGTCTCCCAGCTATCATTTGCATCTAATGAGTCATTATCAATGTCACTTTTGGAATCCATTTCACCTATGGATTCCTGGGTTTCGTTTTTCTCAGGCCTTTTTGTTGTTGACGTGGCGACTACATTGACCATTACAGTGCTTAGGCTACTTGAATTTGATAACTTCCTGACCGCCATTACTGGACCTTGAAACACTGCTCTGGAAAAGGTATTTCTATATCGATATTTTTGTTTTTGTCGAATTCTACACACAATGAATATCGCTAGGAAAACTACAAGAGTTACACCAAGAATAGCGCCACTTGCTATTATGCTTGGTTTCACTTTTGACAGAGTTTTTCCTTTTTCACTTTTGTTCTCATCTTCATCAAGAATGTTGCTAGTTTTACTGTAAATGGTCTGAATATCAATAGAACTTGGCTCTTGCTTTACAATCTCCTTAACAAAACCAGATTGTACAACATTTGATGTATCGTTGATGTCTATTGTTTCTGCAGCGTTGTTTATGAATACCATGCCGAGATTGCTGTTCTGTACGAGCAACTTCTCCTTATCTTCGGTATTGTATTGATCCACAAAGTCCTGTTGGATGTCCTTTATGAATGGCAAAGAACCGAAAGTTGTCAACAGATCAACAATCTGCACTGTACGATGCTTTTCCTTTGTGTCTGCCATCACACTGTCCATCTTTGTAGAAGTATCAAGCTCTGAACCTTCATTGTTGATCTTTAATTCTAAATTAGGCACCAATTGTTTATTTATGCTTTCTTGAGGATGAACGAAATTTGTCAGTGAGTCACTGTTTTTAAAATTTTCAGGTGATTGTGATAAGTAATTACCAATTCCTTTATTGTAGTTCTCATGATTCGCAATTGTTCTTCTTTCAGTAGGTAGATTCTCTTTAGATGGCAATGAATTAATTATTTCAAAATTATTTGTATCTTTTATTTGGTAGCCATCATTTGATTTTTGTGCTCTAATTCGCGATGCTTCAGCTAGATGAACCTTACTAGAGCCTCTTTGTCTTAATGCAATCAGTTCCTCTAAGCTCATGTTTCGTGATTTAAGAAGACGCTCTAATCTCTTTCC